TTCGGAACAAGACGACTCACCTGAAATCAGGAATGTAATCATAGGCATCTCGATCAACATTGTAAGAAGTGATTGTCTAGTACTATTATGAATTCTCAGTCGGCCTTTGGCCTCCCGATGGAGTGACCTTAACGTTATTTGTTCAGACTGCATTACGCCGATTGGCAAGCCGATATCAGAAGGGAATGAGCAGAATGCTCTTGCATCGATAACAATCGAACTTTCCAAAAACAGCGAACTGTTTGAGACCACATCTTCGCTCACCTTCAGCATGGAAAGCTGTGTAATTTTTCTGCTCTTCCTCGGCGTCGCTCGCAGTGAAGATCTGGGTTCGTATAAATAGTTCTCGGCTTCTTTCTCAATTTTCGAACTTCTGAATGTTCTGAGAGACATGCTCAACCTTGCACTCAAACTTGTAACCCGATGGTGAATTTTGCTCTCGGAAGTCGATGCGGACATACGAGCTGCGGATACGTTCGTGGATGGAGTCCTCGATGGGATGCGGTACGACCCGGAAATGAAGGAGAAACTCGATCCGATGTCATTGTCGAAGTTCGGCGAGGGCTCTTATGAAGTCACGAATGGCAAAGTGTTCAACATGCTCGGCTTCACGAGAAGCGGGAACAGCAGCATCCTGTACTCAGGAGACGGTGCGTTCCGTGGATTCGATCAACCCCCATCCTGCTCAGAACAGCATCACAAGGCTCACGAATGTCTCGGATAACTCATCATCTAATCATGAATTATGGAATTACTGAGCTTGGCAGATGAATGATGAAGGCGCAGACACGAGAGGCTCCTTGACTTTTGCAGGAGAGTCTGTCGTCATATCTACTCCCATCGTCGTGAGGGAAGTGTATTTTTCCGGGCGTCACGTGTACGCTAAAGCCTTCGTCACTATACGGGGAGACGTCGAAGCAAAGATACAGAAGATCGACGCAAGTTCGATAATAAGAATGCCCTTGTTGGGCGGCACATCATCGAAACTCGAAAGTCTGATGGTAGGATCCAGAACCTCTTCCGGAAACTGGAAAATAGTCGAGTCGAGATTTCGGTTGGCGCATCTATTTATTAGTTATTCAGTTTCGACTTCTCTCTCCAGATTCTGAAGATGCACGGGCTGGAGGTGACGAAAATCACAGGTCTCTCTCGAGCATTCAATTGGCTACTCAGGATATTGGCCAACAGAGTGACGAAGCAGTTCCAGGAGAAAATCGAGAGCGCTTTCGAAAAGGAGATTACCCCGAACTTTGAGAAGTTCCTTGTTGGACGACCTTTCCCCCCAATGAATGGATCTGCCGAACTCACGGAAACTCCTTTCGAAGGTGAACTCCAGAGCGAAAACCCCAGCTTCGGCATGGGGTACGCGGGCTATATGGGCGCGTAGGTCTGCTGGGGGGCCGATCTTGGATCGACGGAGCGATATTATATGAGTGTTTTGACGATGACACACAGGTCCCCAGCGAACCTGAATCTTGTTGACGAATCATGAATGGACGGGAAGATAATGATGAGCTACTCTCAAGTACGACTCGGAGCGTCTTTGTCCTTTGCATCGTTTTTTTTTGCCTCACATATGTCTACCGAAGTGATTGTGATGGCTCTCCCCCCTCGAGCCTAGCATACCAGCTGATCGCCCCCGATGGCGAATCCAGGTCGACGAAGATTGTCCCACCCTTGCCACTTGCCAGGATCGCTTCCTAGGAATTTCGAAATCAATTTCCCGCGTCATACTCGACGAGGATAATATTTATTTCCACGGGGAAAACGTAATATGGATCATTGGGTCCGCCATGCTGCTTAAGTGAGTCTTTCGACAAAACTACGGGACCGTGTAGAGAATATTCTTAGGGAATATCACGTGGGTGTAACTCCATGTTTTCCAAGAATACATGTAAATCTCGCGTCTTCCTCCGAAAAAAACGATTCCGCTTCCATGATGCGCGCTCGGGTGGGTGTCAGCTGAGGAGTTCATCCGACTCCAACCATTATCGGAGCTGACGATCAAGAGTCGCTCACAGTCTCGAAGAAAAGGTTGCGAATCGCGATATGGGAAGGCCTGAGCGAGATATTGCTGTTCTTCGCGCCTACGGGAAACACCTCAATCGTGTGGAGTGATAGTCGAAAGAACTGAATTATTACCCGACAGCATGCCAATCACCGATCGCAGAGCTCTCACAACGGAGAAAGACGACTCCACTCTGTGTTCCACCTCGATATTCACCTCCGGAAACGGAGAGAGCTCCTTGGATTTCATGGATCCCTCAGGGAAGCGTCCGGAATCTAGGAAAGAATTCGTGATTGTTCCGATCAGTAAAGGCAGGAAGAAGATATGGTTCTGCGCTTTCCTCGGATGGCTTGCGGTCATTATCATATTGATCTCAGCGGTTTCTCCATCGGCACGGTCGCTCAGGTATGTGATGTGATAGCTGATAACAGTTCTCAAATGGATGACCGCGGAGGTCATATCGGACAAGTCGGAATCGCCCCGCTCTACCAACCCTCGATTCTCACCTTGAATATTCCTGGTCTCTGAGCCACCATAGTCTCAATTCCTCCTATTCTGAGGACATAGCTCCCATCGAGGACATGCTTCTGCGCGAGGTTCCACTAGTCCAGGCTCCATCTCTTGCAAAAAGAGTTGGGAAAATGAGAGATGTAGAAGACCGATCCGAGAAACCGGAACCTCAATCTTCCCCTCTCACCGGCGGAAATACTTCATCTGATTCTTTTATATGTACTGATGCCCCGTCGGGAGCGTGTTTCTGCCACGAGATGACACAAGACGGCGACACACCCTGAGCTCATGAACCTGTGGTCTCAAGCAGATATTTCGCCTTGATAGCAACCTCGGAACCGACTCCTGAGTCTTCCCATCAATTACACACATTCAGCTTCGCACAGGAAGGTGGGAAATACGTTATGTTGGCGCATGTGGAGACGCCTTGGATGTATTTCCACGATCTCAAGTGAGTCGAAGTTCCCTGTCCGAATCTGCTGAAAATGTGGGAATTAGCACTAAGGACAGCGGGCTCCATTGGTTCCCACAGAATACTTCTAGAAAAAGCGGCCGAGCTCATACCTAAGGAGCTCCGTAGAAAGACTCCGCTGAGATACTTCAGTAAGCATGTCCGATCGCGGCGTTTCCTTGATGCTGTGCTGAAGCATTTCGCAAATACGAGTTTTTCGTTCCCTCGGGAATTCAGAGTCGGGGGCGCGGGCTCCAGAGGTAATTTCCTAGGGGGTATTCGCCCTTGAGCTCGTTTGGCGTCACGTGGAATGGAGTCAGCTCACATATGCTCGAATGGCCGAAAGGCATGACGTCAGGGCTCAGAGGGCAAACGTTCTTGATTCCCAGCGAAGTTATTGTGGTATAGTGTGGACGAGGTTTTCGGCCTCCGGGAGAGAGCTGCCGTATTCGATCTCGACGACCTAGATCTCCGGATGGCTTTTCATACGGAGACGTGCGGGAAATCTTGCCCTCGTGTGGTATACTTTCCACGGGAGGAGCACGCGGAACATTTCGAAGCTGTCTCTGAGCAGTGCCAAAACAACGAAACTCTGGAAGATGAGGGTCCCGAGGAGACTTTCTCATATCGAGAGTGCTTCGCGGCGATGTGCAAGTTCGTTCGGCAGTGGCTCAAAATCGAGGTCAGAGCACCGTTCGTTCAGAAAATATTCCTCCTGAATGACTTCGGTCGCTCGATGGCCCAGACCAAGGTTACGAACGTCGAGCAAGCGCGGAACTGGGCAAAACATGGTAAGTTTTGATCTTATCCCTGAGGTGATTGAAGTTTCCAACGATGAGAATGTCATCTGCTTAGTTTGCAGATCGAGATCGGGAAACCCTCTCAAGAGCTGCGCCAATGCGACGCTGATGTATTCCATCATCGATCAGTACCTGGCTGGAGCGCAAGATGTTGAACTTCAGGTATATCAGACGATAAGCAGACGCGTGTTGGAAGTTTGCATTCTTCGGTACCAAGTCGCATCCCTCGATCATTTATACCGAGATTATCTCCCTTCTCTCAGATCATAGAGGAAAACAGTAGACCAGAGGTCAGTTGGATTCATGGAGCGGCGGTACATGCCCTGCGCAAGCCGAAGGAACCTCATCCGTATCTTGTGCCTTGACGGGTCCGCAGTACCGCACCACCCGGAGCTTCCATCGGATCAGAATTGAGAACAAATGCATTCATTCTTGCTTCGAACGTATTGAGCCCAGCACAAAAAAAAACTCACATGAACTAAGTGGAGGTTTTATATGCTCCAAATCAGTGGCGTACCC